CCAAATTAGAAGCTTAAAGAAACAAACTTCCCAGATACTGGGTCAGAAATCTTGGAGTGTCTTAACTGGGTGGTGAGGTTGAGTATCTCATGAATTTGGCCAGGGATTTCAGTGTGTTCTTTATAACTCTTGATTTACTTCCCAACTTGCTTGTGTATGTGTTTGCAGGCTCCAGTTTTTCTATCTGTAGGCTAAAACAGGGTAGCAGATCTCTCAGAGGGAGTGGACTGAAAGCAGCAAAGCTAGAAGCTTCATTTTTTAAAACCTGAAGTTGAGACTGCCTTGCTACCTAGCCCTGAGAATGTCATACCATCACACGTTTGATCCATTATTGGCCTAGTGCAATATGAAAGGAAATCACAAAGATGTAAGCAAACCAGCAAGTGGAGATGAGTGAACTCGTCTTGGGCCCTGGCTATGACAGTGGAGGGAGAGTCTCACCTGTGTGGAGAGGAGGGAACACACAAAATGTGCAGGTCACACATCCCTCTTCATATTAGCAGCAGAGCCATTAGTCAAAGCAGGAGTGGATTTTCATCTTAATTGGGTGTGGATGATGGAGTGTGGAAACACCTATTTGGTCAAGGCTGCCTTTGCATCCAAACAAAAACTATGCAGAACTCTCCCAGCTTTTCTGTAATTCATGACTGTTGTAATTTAAAAATGCAGCATGAGAGAGAAAGACACCATTTGACAGGTCTTGTGTGGAGGGTTTTTTTATTAAGGGAAAGAGAATGAAAAAGAAGGGAGGGGAGGGAGGAGACTGGCCTCTGGGGACAGGAGCAGCAAAAAAGAAAATGGTGGGTGGGGGCAGACAGGCAGAGGGGATGGGAGAACAGACAGAAAGAGAGAGATGGGAGGTGGGCAGGGCCCTTTTAAAAGGAACATAGTGAATATGCACAGGTAGTGCTCTTAGTGGCAGCAGCTGAGGGTGTATCCTGTCAGAACAAGGGCAGGCCAGTACAGATGCCTGAATACTAACACTGGCTGTATCTGAAAATGGGAAAGGTTGTTTACTTGGGTGATCATTCTTCTAAACAGGCTATATCTGCTGGGCATTCTGAACTTTTTTCAAAGCTTGACATAAAAAAAAGAGAATACAGAGCCAAAGAACTAATAATAAATGACAAGTATAGTCAAATATTGGGAAAGCTTCTGTGACTACTGATATAAGTCCTGCAAATAGTGAAACAAGCTTCTATTCTTTGGTACCATTTCTCTTTGAAATGAGGCTGCACCTTTTGGCCTTAATTGATAGCACCTACTTCTTAATCATCTTGGTATATTTTTATCCTGTCCACACTAAACCAGGCATATCAACTATGCATTCCACATCGTGACCCTTTTATGACAGTTCTGTGGAGTTGTTCATCTCCATTTTATGTTGGCAGGGATAGATACTTCCAGTTATATGAAGAAACCTTAAAATGTTTTTATACTATCAAGGAATCCAAGGGAAACTGACTATTCCAGAGATTTAAAAGGGCAAAAATCAGCTACATAATCTTTTCCTAATTACTGGAACAAAGCAACATATGAAGAAATCTTCTTTTTCCTTTGAGAATTAAAAGTATTTCCTTAGAAACAGTGACAATTGTTCTAGTTTAGATCAAAGGCCTCTCTCAGTCCCAGAGGGCCAATTCTACTCTCATTGGAACAAAAGCTTTGAGTAAAAAGTACAAGTTTTTGGTTTTTATTTCTTCTTTTTTTTTCAGGCCATTTCCTTATTGTTGCTTCAAATGAACCTTTCTATGATTGACAAGTTTTGAATAAAATATCATGCAAGTTAGTTTGCTAATTGTGAAATAGAAATGTAAAATTTCTTCTGTTCATTGTATAAAAATCAGACATAAACAGCAACCCCTCCACCCAGGCCTAAACTTCTGTAACTACATATTTTACTTATTTTAGATTCTTTTTAAACACAGATAATCCTTTTGGGGATGCTATATCAAACAAACTGGGTGGCTTATAGGCAATATTTCTTACAGTCCAGGACACCTGAACTGTAGGCAATGATACAGTTAAGAAAACGGCAGAGCCGGGCGTTGGTGGCGCACACCTTTAATCCCAGCACTCGGGAGGCAGAGGCAGGCAGATCTCTGTGAGTTCAAGGCCAGCCTGGTCTACAAGAGCTAGTTCCAGGACAGCCTCCAAAGCAACAGAGAAACCCTGTCTCGAAAAACAAAACAAAACAAAACAGAAAAGAAAAGACGGTAGATTTAGTGTCTGCTATGAGCCCACTCTTTATAGACAGCACTTGCTAGCTGTGCCCTCATACTGTGGAGAACTAACAAGCCACACAGGTTCTCTTTTTATCAGGGCACTAATTCCAGTCATGAGGGCAGAGCCTCCTAAAACTGCTAACACCTAGTACTATTGACTTGATAGCATATGGTTTTTGTTTTTGTTTTTTGTTTTTTCAGCAGCACATGCATGCAGAAATAGCAGTTGGACAGTGAACTCTGCTGGTTGATGTAGTGTGATGTGGATAGTCCATCAGTGACATTTTTGTAGATCTCATGACCTATTTTACACCCTGAAGAAAGGTAAACAAAATTGCCCAAGCACACAACTGCTGAGGACTGGAGTTGGGATTTGAACCTAGGCTCCCTGGCTTCATAATCAGAGTGGTCACTATGCTGTATTGCTCTTCAAAGTAACCATGCTGTGAATGCTCACTGAATAGTCTCATTATGTATTTAGAATTTATGAGTGCTACATAAATTCTCTGAAGTCAAGTATAACGTGGACAGAATTAGCATGTTTTAGAAATCCCATAGTCAATGCATCAGCCATCATTCCCTACCAGTTTTCTTTTTGTAACTTGCAATTTTTCCTGTTTCCCCCATTACTCCTTTTTTTTCTTTACTCTAAGTGACCACCTTTCTTTTCCTGTTCTCTGTCATCCCAAGAATGATAGCCCAGTTCCTCTTTGGACCCTAGGTCCTGCACATGTCAGACTGCACTGGCTCTCAAATATTAGCCTATAACAGTATCACCCCCATAGCACAGTAAAACACAGATTGCTGAATGCTACTTCTTCAGATTGTAAGACTGAGTGAGGCCTAACAGCCAACTCTCAGGGACTGTTCTTTGAAAAGTGTTGCTGTAGCTGTTAGCAGAAATGTATCTAGGACTCAACACCACGTGCAAGTTAAACCCCCCCTTTCTTGCCGCCTCCAAAAGAAACACGATAATGAGATCTATCTCATAGGCTGTCCTAATTAAATGACATGTTATACATAAAGAAGCCAACACAGAAGATCAAGCTCACATAATAATCATTATGATGGGCTGCCAATCCTAGACAAGCACACCTGATTAATAATTAAATAATTAATTTATTTAATTAAATAGCTACTCTCAATAGAAAGCTATTATTCATTCTTCACACTTCTCATTAGATGGAGCTGTGTTTGTGTTATGATCCTGCCTTCTCAGTGGTCTCCTAGGTGACCACTTCTCTCTTGACCATTTAAATGTATTTTTTAGGTTTCTGTGTGTATATTTAAGTGTGTGTGGGGTCTAGAGGACAATCTTATGTATCATCCTCAGAAACACTATTTCCAGACATCAAACAGGACAAAAACAATAACCAAATATTGAGGACTGGGACAAGCAGGTTCCCCCCCCCCAAACAGGGTTTCTCTGGGTAGCTTCGGATCCTGTCCTGAAATTTGCTCTTGTAGACCAGGCTGGCCTCAAACCACAGAGATCCTCCTGTGTCTGCCTCCTGGTTGGCTGTTAGTTTTTAAAATTTGTTTTCACGACTGTTCACCCTGGAAATCTTCGTTGTATATTTTCCCTGCTGATGTTTTCATCTGTGGAGACGGGTCCAGTCTTTCCTACACTGCACTATATATAGTGGAGAACATTCATCAGACACTCAAGGGCAGTGTTCTGTGTGAGGTGTAACTAGTGTTTTGCTATGAAAGTCATAACGTGTGGGTAGATACAAATGTTTTCCCTTTAAAAAAATTACATTATTGGCTGTGCTTCCTTGAGCATGATATGCTGGTAGAACTTGTTGCTAACTTAGATTGCCCAAAAATAACTGGATTGAGAAGAAAGATTGAGGTCCATTCTGTGTCTGTTACCTAGGCCAAAAGGAATGGGATATAAGAGGAATAAGCCCCTGTTGTACTCAAAGATTGAGTAGGGAGTAGGGACTGCTCACAGGATCCCATTAACTAGGCATACCTGTTATCTAGGTTTGGGATGCAGCATATGGGCAGAATCCCATTACCTAGGCATACCTGTTAACTAGGTTTGGGATGTAGCATATGGTTAAGTCTGATGGACAAGTGGTTAACAGTGTCAGGAATCCTGGGAATGTGCTGTTAAACATTGGCTACTTTTAGCAATAATGTTTACTTTAGCAATAATGTTTTAGCAATTGTATACAATGTCCATTGTATACAATCCAGAGAGGCATAGATCCCCATGGAAGCTGCCAGTTCGACACAGAAAATTAACTACAATTTCTGATGTTTTGGGCAAAGGTAACTGAAAAGTGCATTTCATTGTGTACTGGGTGTGCATGTTGTTGACATGATCATGAAGTATGTTTACATTCAATTTACATTCATAAATTAATAGAATACTCATGTCCATCCTCAACAATTTAAGATTGGTTTGTTTTTCACACTTTTTTTCTAATTGGATATACAAATGTTCTTTTCTTCTATCACTAAGAAATTTGGAACTAGTGTAGGCTATAAAATCCAAATTATCACTGAAGACAATATATTACCCATGACTTACCAGCTACAGGGAAGATAATTCAGAAGCTAAAATGTCTTCTGATTTACTCTCAAGAAAGATGTATTTAATATGAGTCCAATATATCTAAAGAATCAGAGCACAGGTCTAAAAAAAGCACACACTAAAACATTAGATCATATATGTGTCTGTACTATCAATCAATAGACTGGAAGATATTGTTTGTTTTGCAAGTCACACATTTTATTAAAAATTTATTTTGTGCCCAGTAGAAAAGCAAATTTTGAGGCTATTTACAAGCACTATGTATTTACATATATTATATACATTTGATGCATTTAAAGAAAATGGGCAGAGAAACAATATATTTGGAAGAATATGTCACTGTACATGGTTTATTATCATGTTTTTTAAATGTCACTGCATCTTTGCTGTAGTAATAAATACAATTCTATATGTACACATCTTATAAAACATCTCATAAATGTATTTTTAAAAAATTCCACATTAAAACATCTGATCAAAATAAAACATGCTTATATAAAAATAAATCTACCTAACAGCCTTTTGGTTTGGGTGCAATGAAGCTAATGTATGATCACAGAAGTTAAGAATAAACATTTTCACTTTTCAAATTTAATAATTTGGATTAAAACATCTAACACCCGTGTTAATATGGAATAATCAGAGAAGTAATGTTCATTATTATCAGGTGGTTGATCCAAAAAGGACACAGCTAAAACCAAGCTACATAGAAAGAATAATACTTTGCCCAGTTTCTGTTGAGTCCAAAGTGCTATGAGGCATTGTTGCTAGAGCTACCAGAGATGGGTGGGTGTGTGAGGTTACTCAGTGGATGTATGGACTTATGTCCTGTCTGACTTTGAGAATCTTACAATGAACAACCATTTGAGGCAATGATAAAACGTTATCTCCAAAGCATGCTACCACTCAGAAACAAACACAAACCCTGCAATCGCTTACTATCTTTCCTATGTAGGTCCACTGCTGGTAGTGAATTTCTGAGCTTTGGACACCAGGAATTTAAGAACGAATCAGATAAGTCAAATTTTACCTATACATAATTGCATTAGGAACAATTTAAATTAATAATTAATTTTCCTTTAAAAAACATGTAGCCAGTTTTATTTTATCAAGGGAGAAGCACCAAGTGCTTGCTTATTAAACCCAGTATCTTAAATGTATTTATGAATGAGTTAAAAAAAGTCTCATATTATTCATCCAAGAAACTCGGGTGTTGGAAGGTTCCTTTCTGACAAGAGGACAAAAAATATCTCCATATGGCCATTAAAATGAAACCCTGTGGGCCCATTTAACAAAAGTCCTTATATTGCCTCATACTATTAACTTTCTTCTAAGGAATTTGTCGATTTAAATATACCCATTGTGTCCGTTGATGAATCCCCCACTACCAGTGATTATGCTGGTGAGTTTGAAGAGGATGCAGTGGAAATGAGAGAGTTTATTTTTGGAAGAGCATTTCATCTGCTTTTCAGTTCTGGGCTCATAGAAGTAACGTAATGGACAGCTGAACAAATTATACAAGCAGTGTTTAGACTTACACGTCGCTCTCAAGTATCAGTAAGGCATTCACTTTTCCGTACTAACCTATAGATGTTTACGTGTGTTATAAGCCAGGTTTCAGCTCAGCTCTTCTTAGCTACTGCTCTGATTTCAATCGTCTTGCAGGTTCCCAATTTTTGCAAACAGTCCCTCCCATATTGCCTAGAGACATGGGACAAACACTTCTGAAGAAAGGTGACAGCTTTCTGTCATTGGATAAGCTGACGATGACCCAGAGTTGGAAGGCAAGTCGTAGGCTATGCTGGCATGCGTAAAGGCTACCAAGGCTTGGGTTGAGTCACAGGATCGTTTTTCAACATCATCAGAGTTGATGGACAGCAGACTTGGGTGTTTCGATCTTGTCCAGAAACAGGTCTGCTTCCCTAGGCTGCCCATATCCTCCTTAAAATGGGGGTTAAAAACGATGTAGAGAAGGGGATTGAGGCATGCAGGAAGTGGGACGATCACCAGAAGGATAAACTTAATTACCTCAGGACTGATAAATGTGAGGTTTAGCAAAGAGGAGAATGATAAGAAAGCCACGGGACAGTAAAGGATACAGTTGGTAAAGAGCAACAAGGCAATGTGTTTCACCATAGAACAGTCCCAAAGATTCTCGAGATCGCCTTTCTCCAAATTGCAGTAGAGCTTGGTGTACGCAATGGTCATTATGAGGAAACAGAGGGAGTTGAGCAAGACGAGAGCCACCATGTAGCCTGTGGTGCTGGGCTCCCCAAAGGGCAAGGGCAGGCAGAGTGGCGAGGCATTGAACTCACTGCCTCCCAGCAAGGGGACAGTGGCAATGGTGAGGGCCAACAGGACACACAGCAAGATGATCACTTTCAGGCTAGACAGGGGAGTTTTCGTTTCAAACTTTGAAGAACATTTGACAGAAAAGCCACGTTCCAGGGCTGCCAGAGTGAGCAGGAAAACAGATGATTCTGAAGCAAAAATGGACAGGAAACCAACGACCTGGCAACCAACTCCATCTTCCCACCACGCACCGTGTTGCGCAAAACTACCGAATGTGAACGTATCCACAACGGCCAGCATAGCGCTGGAGACCCCCATGAGCATGTTCACCACTGCTATCACCCCAATTAGCAGTTTTATGGAAGAGATGTAGAGAGTGGTTCTGAACACTGTTGATGTCACCAAGGCATTACAAGAAAGCGCCAGCACTGCGATGGCCCACACTCCGATTCTGATCAGCCAGCTACCAAATAGGTGGTCACAGGGCTTGAAGGGACCTGAGGGTGGAAGGAAGAGAGAGAGAGTGAGAGACTGTATCAGATTGGGTCGAGAGATGTAGCAAACTGGCCAAGAAAAGGAGGTCAGTAACAGCCACTGTAACCACCGTGTCCACATAGCTTGCTCCTGTTTCTCAAATTAGCGTGAGGACCACCTGGGAGTTTCCATAGCACTGACTCATTGATGCCCCAGGTTCTTGTGTTCCCAGAGGATACATAGAAGAATAAAAATTGGAAACTTCAGTCCCAAGACATAGCAGTGTGGCCAATGTGAAAAGCCAGGTCCCCTGGATTTCTCAGCAAGACCTTCAGAATGATTTTTATGGCTCCACATTCCAAGAAAGAGACTCCCAGGAAAAGTTCTTTGGACATAGTGCAGGCAGCCGGAGTGTGCATTTCACGGAAATCTTAGGGGACAAGGAACACTTATTTATTGAAAATAAAATATTAATCACTGCCTTTCAATCACTAAATTATCCACTTTTTTTTTAAGGAACAGGAAAATTAAATGAATTCATTTTTTTTCAAGACAGGGTTTCTCTGTAGCTTTGGAGCCTGTCCTGGAACCTGCTCTGTAGAACAGGCTGGCTTTGAACTCACAGTGATCCCCCTGTCTCTGCCTCCTGAGTGCTGGGATTGAAGGTGTGTGCCACCACTGCCGGCCTGAATTCAATATTTTAAAAACTCATCTGTATATTATTCATTTTCACATTTTTTTAAAGCCATGGTCTCCCTACATAGCCCTGGCTGCTCTGGAACTGTGTAGACCAGACTGGCCTTGAGCTCAATGAAACCCACCTGCCTCTGCCTCTGAAGGGTAGGGAAGGGACCAAAGGTGTGGACCACCATACCTGGCAGGCCAGAGCCTTGAGCATGTTAAACAAATACTTTATCATTGGGCTAAATTCCCAGACCCTAAATAGTTATTTGTAGAAAAAAAACCTAAATTACTAAAAATATTTATTGATTATACAAAGCAAGGCTATGGAGTACCATCCCATGCTAAATAGCAATATTGCCTTCTAAATCATATATGCCTTTGAGTATATGCCAACTTTTTAGTATGTATTAGCCTGAATCAACAGTTCTCCACAAAAGTTCTACCTGTGAATGGAAAACGACTCTAGTGAACAAAGCTTGCTTGTATTTTATAAGTTCGGGTTGTCAGGGACAGTGATGACCCATGAGGTGGCAGAGAGTTTGCTTCTGAAGTGTAGCCACAGTGGTCTAAAGCCTCAGAGTCCAAGTGGTTTTGATATTGACAGTTTTGATGGCTCTCTCACCTGGAGACGGTGAACACTGCACTGAATGAAGGGATTTCAGGTCTTCCTCAAAGTCAAGAAGGAAATCTTCAAGGTCCCGTTCATCTGCAGGAATGAGAAATCCTGGAGTGGTTAGTTCTCCCATGAGGAGAGAACTGGGATGCCCGCAAGACATGAATTGTCACAAAGAGAAATGAAGGCAAGATTTTGCTGTAGGTTCCTTAGAAAGTCTCTTGTGGATGTTCTATTCACTCTACTCTGCCAGTGTTGCAGCATAACTGCTGTGGAGGAGAAATGGCCCTGTACTCAGGGTGAAATACCCTCTGATTCCATTGTTCCCTGGAGTTAGTGATGGTCCAAAATTTCACAGACCTAAATCCAGGGTAGCAACCACATTTTTTCCAGTTTTCTAAGGACTTGGGATGTAGCTCAGTGGTAGAATATTTGCTTAGCATGATCAAGGCCCTAGGTTTGGTCTCCAGAACCAACTTTCTTTAAGATGGGAGAGAGGAGCTGGGCAGTGGTGGTGCATGCCGTTAATCCCAGCACTCGGGAGGCAGAGGTAGGTGGATCTCTGAGTTCCAGGCCAGCCTGGTCTACAAAGCGAGTTCCAGGCAGCCAGGACTGTTGCAGAAAGAAACCCTGTCTCAGGAAGGAGGGGGTAGAGAAAGAAAAAGAAAACAAAAAAGACAGGTCAGAGGAGAGAACAATTTTCTAACACTACAATAGCTACAGTACAAATGTTGGATGGAAAATCAGTTTTGGTGCTCATTGGGGAATTCTGCATAACAAGAGACAAAGTAATAACAAGGAGCTGTGGTGATATCTTTCTTGCACAAATAAAGCCTATCTGGGCATCAGAGAATGGAGCTTGCCACTAGCTAACCATAAAGGTCTGTAGAGACAGACAGGAAGTGAGATTGCTAGGCAGAAACAGGATATAAGCAAGGAGAAACAGGAAATTGCTCTCTTGTCTGCTGAAGACACTAAGGAGGTAAGGTGTGCTGTGGCTTGCTCCTCTCTGATCTCTCAGCATTTCCCTCTATATCTGACTCTGGCTTTTTATTATCTAGACCAATTAAGAACTCTTCTTACAAGATGCTTGGTTTAGGAAATTATCTTCTAAAAATGGAGTTTGCGATTTAATACACTTTTCCTAAATATGTACATTTTCTTGGTTTTGTGTGAGACTTGGGCACCAGTATTTGTGTGTGTGTGTGAGTGTGTGTGTGTGTGTGTGTGTGTGTGTGTGTGTGTGTGTGTGTGTGTATACATGCATGCACGAGGATGTGATCACTCAAAGGGACACAAATGGACAGTGTGTTTGTGCATGCACATGCATGTGATCATTTAATGGGACACATGTGGATGGTGTCTGTGTGTACAAGTATGTGTCTGTGTGTGCATGCACAAACTTGTGATCACTCAAAGGGACACCTGTTCAATGCTCAATACCTTCCCTTCTTTATCTTGTGAGACAGGCTCTCTCTCTCACTGAACCTGGAGCTCACCCATTCAGCTTGACTGACTGATCATCCACACCACTAAGGTTACAGATGCTAGCTGCCACATCTCACTTTTTAAAACCGTGGACATTGGAGGATCTGAGCTCAGATCCTTGTGCCTGGGCACCAAACACTTCACTCACTCAGCTAGCTCCCCAGCTCTGGCATCACTGTTTTTTTCAAACCCTTTTGTGTTATTACAATACATGGCTCACAGTTGAGAATCACAGATCTTGAAAATGAATTCCGTGAAGGATATTAGCGCTATTATGCAGTCCCAGAGGCTGATGGAGTGTCTGGAACATACTGGGCTCTATGTTTTTACATTTTAATTTTTAATGAATAAACGTAGAAGAGACTAGAGCTGATGGGGCAGGAAGAGTCAGAAATACAGGAAGAAGAAGAGCAAGAATACTACCTAAAACGAACAAACAAACAAACAAACAAGGCGATTAGCTCCTTCAGCTGATAGGCAAGTGGAAGAGTTAAGGAAACTCACAGACAAGCTGAATTACACTTTGGAATCAACAAATCACCAAGACTCTAAGAATGAGCAGCTATTCTGTTAGGCCTTGTGCAAACTCGCAAGGTTGGCAGGGAATGGAGGGGGGTGCTGCCCAAGGCGCCTCTTCATCCCCACAGGTGTGGTGGAGATACATTGCTTTCTGTTTAAGTAACGTCTTACTGCAAGGAAAGCCAAGGCTTTACAGACATGATCTCATTTCACCTTCCTGACAGATACCCCTGTGGGGGACTAGAAGAACACCATTTGGAATTAGTTGGTCCAGAAGCTGAATTCTTAGGCCCTTCTGCTTGAATATAGAGGAATTAAAAATGTCTGTCTATCCACCGCCCCGCCCCCCAGCCCCCACTTTTTCCAGGCCAGGAAAATAGGCATGGATTTTTTTCCTCCTACAGAAACAAGTGCAGAAGGATATTTGAAAAAAAAAGATAGGATCATCTAAAAAGGTATGAAAATATTGATAATAGTAATCATCTTTGGGGACTGTGATGCAGAGGAGGAGCTAATAAATACAAATGCCAGGAATTCACCCACAGGATAGATGGCAACTCCTTCTGTCCTTTACAGTCTTTACAAAGTTATACTGACTCTCCATTTGCTGGGCAATTACACGAGGACTCCTGAATTTTCCTGGTCTGTTTCATAATATTTTTGAGACCTTTCTGGCTACAATTTCCTCACCTCGGCAGCAGTTCTTACCTTGAACTTGCAGTAGCCCAGTGTCTTTCTTATGAAGATCATCCACACTGTTGTTATCACCTTTATTCCATGGAGTAGAAATTTTATAGATATTCTCACACACTCCAAAGGCACAACACTGGTAGGCATAAGGCATTTCAATAATCCTTTAAAGAAAGGAAGCAAAACAAAAAAAAAATACACTTAAAAAAGGTAAATCGTGAAATATAATGTTTATCTTTTCACCCAATGATTCTACTTTTGGAGTCCAGTCTAAAATAAAGAATCCAAAATATATGCTATTTGAATAAAAATGTCCATTCTAGCGATGATGCTTGTGACCAGTTACTAAAACTTACCATCATGAAATGTTTATAGTTGATTGATGTGATTTAAATGATGGAAAATTCCTGTAATAAAATGAGTGAATCGTAGGAAACGAACAAAATGAATTTTAAAAAAATGAATGGTAGGAAAATTATGGCAACATTATATTAAGTCACTAAAGTATGCCATAAATGTCTATGCAGATGTAGGATTCTAATAACTTAGATGACATGAAACATAGCCCAGAAACAACATAAAAATGTTTTAAGGCAGCATTTTGAAATAAACTTTTTTCTGTACGATCTTTTGGGGCTCTATTGCTTTCTTGGTATTAAAGACATGCAGACAGCACTGTGGTTTAAGGCATATATATGTACACACAGAATCTTTAAAACACTCCTTCCTTGCTAATATACATAGCAGGTTTTAAGGAGCACTGATCCCTCAAACAGGCATTAATTTAGTACATTTTATTAAAACACATGCACAATAGATGAATCAAATATTGTAAACAGGAGTGCAGTGATGTTACAACGTTATTTAATTACATGGCCCAACAAAATCCCATGGATCAATGCTTTTTAAACTCTTTCCATGAACTCTGTGATTCCAGGAGGCATCTTTGAGAGGGAAAGGAAATGTGGTCAGGAAGAGAGTCTCCCACGTCAGCTTGTCCTAACAGTGTTTCAGGGGTGGGGGACTCAGGGCATGAAATGCAATTCAAAAGGGTCTCATGACCTTGTAAATTTAGAAACTACTATAACATGTCTATTATTTCGCATGACCACAAATGTATCTTATTAGTTTCAATGACAAACTCACTTGAGCTCTGGGAAGTTTGAAGATGGTATCAGGCTCTGCAAGGCACGATTTCCTGTTAATTTTAAGTGAGTTAAACCATGTAACCCAGTTACGGGGAAAGAGGACAGGAGGTTGGATGAGAGGTCCCTGCAAAACATCAAACAATTGGCTTTTAGTAGTCTACATTAGCATAAAATGTTTATGTTTACAAAAGCAGACTGAAGATGCTTAAACTGCTCAATAAAAACTTCTAAGCAGAGTTCTTACTCTTAATGGTAAAACTAACCATTTGGGTTTCAGTTTCTGATAGTTTTTCTATTTACAGTCAGAACTGGAGGAGGACACATTTTTAATGCATTAAATAATTCTAAATTTGGCTGGGCAGTGGTGGTGCACTCAGGAGGCAGAGGCAGGTGGATCTCTGTGAGTTTGAGGCCAGCCTGGTCTACAGAGCAAGTTCTAGGACAGCCAGGGCTACACAGAGAAAACCTGTCTCTATAAACAAAACAAAACATTTGTTCTATATTTGGCCTCATTTTGCCAAGTGGGAGCAGCTAAAATCAAGGGAAAATATACATTTATTTGAAAAGTGATAGGAATGACCAGTGAAAAGTTTATGGGCTTCCTTCCTTCCTTCTCCCCTCTTCTGTCAGAGAGGGGAGAAGAGGGAGCAAATAAATGAATTGCCAACTTATTCCATTCTGACTGATTTCTCAGCAATAATAGAGAATTGCCTTTGAATAAGCAGTCCCAGCTGTCACTCAGATCTTCCATCATCCACATAAGGGCTCATAAGGCCCCGGAGAAGCTGGGCTATCTTCCCTGGCCAGGGCATAGCTCTAGGCAGGGAGAACACAGAACATTGGCTGTGCATTGGGAGTGACTTCAAAAAAACTAACATTTTCACTGATAGATGGTCACTAATTATTGAAAGACATCTCATGAACAAGAAATTAAATACTCACAGCTTTATTAGCGATGGCAATGTAGAAAATGCATCGGGGTGAATAATGGCAATTTTATTCCAAGCTAAGTTCCTGTTTTTTTTTTAAAGCAAACAAGAAGATTATGTTAAAAAGAACACATGACATTTTATCGTATTCAGTCTCTACCCAAATTTAATTTCCATTCAAATAAGGAATAGCCTGCTCATCAAATTCTCCTTCAGATAAAGATATAGTGGCATAAAATGATGATAGACAGAACTTTAAATCAATCCTGTTTGAAGTAACCAGGTAGATGTTTTAGTTTTTATTCTCACTAACAAGGTTGACTTTATCATGAATGCAAAATTTTATTATTGTTTTTCTAAAATGAATGTAGATAGAGGACTAGGAAGAGGCAAACTTAAGAGTTTAGACACATGGCAAAACTCAATGTCGTCTATAAATATCAGGCCCTGAAATAAACAGAAGTGTTTCAAGAAAATTCTCATTAACAAATGTAGACAAGTAAACACCTGACTGGGATCTAAGTAAAAGAGGAGAAAACATGTTCCCTTCAAAGCAAGGAAAAATACTTTATAGAGAAATAAAGTATACTGTCATACATACACAAAAAAGTGAAGATAACTTAGGAGGAATAAAATCGCTAGCAAAGACCTCTCAAGATAATTCATCAGAGACAAGAACTGATGGATTATCAGAGACAAGTTCATTTTTTAAAAATGAACTATGAATTTAAGACTACCTCCCACTACCTCTCTCCCTTTCTCCTTCCTTGGTGCTGGGGATGAAAGCAAGAGCTTTACAAATTCTAGATAGGGCTCTTCTACTGAGATTTTACTTTTTCAATGTCTAAGACATTAAGATAAGTAAGAAGAGGACATTTGGGAAAATTGGAAGTGCTCAGAGTCAATGTTTCTCAGGTTCAGATAAGTATATGACACTGGGCCCCTGAGTTACTTCAAGTGAAATGAATTCATTGAATAGTTATGTTCTCATTTGAAAGGTCTTTTTACAGGCATCTTCTTCCTTCCAGCCAGAGGACTATCTCTGGTACCTTTCCACGAATGCCATCCACCATGTTCTTTGAGATGGGGTCTCTCATTGGGCTAGGCTGGTTGGCCAGTGAGCTCTACCCGTCCCTGTCTTCCACGCTGGGATAACTAACTGTGTGCCTGCATGCATGCAACTGTGGGTCTAGGAATTGAACTTTGGTCCTCCTGCTTGCATGGCAAACACTTTATGGACTGAAATACTTACTTATAATGTTTTAAATAATAAAACAAAATTAAATATTTGCATTTTGATTGACAGAGAAACAAGCATTTTCTAGGACAGTTGGATCGAAACCAGAGTAGGTTTGCTAAAACAGATTCCTAGGCTCTACTCTCCAGAGAGATGAAGCCTCAACATTAAAATATCTCACTATCAAACCCATGTGATCTTTAAAACACACACACACTTGGGAGGGGGGAGAGGGAGAAGGGATTGACATTATAATTTTGTAAAAATTAAATAAAAAATATCAAACACACACACACACACACACACACACACACACACACACACACACACAGTCTCTCTCTAAGTCTCTTCCCTTCCAAAGCAAAACACCCCCAACCCCAAAACAGGCAGAGGGATTGTGTATGTTCATTCCGTGTGTGTGTGTGTGTGTGTGTGTGTGTGTGTGTGTGTAAATTCGCAGGCTGTAGACAGGAATTACACAGGCTTTGGAGCAGGTTATCCTCTGTTCTTCTGTATCAAGAATGCATTTTAGAGGATTGGCTTAAAGCATAATCACAAGTTTACTACTCCTATTTTTAATCTTTTAAAACTTATATTTCAAGAGGGTCTTACTGCCTAACTCTAGCTAGTCTGGACCCCGAGGTGCTGACCAGACTAGTCTCAAACTCACAGAGATCTACTTGCCTCTGTCTTACATGTACTTGAATTAAAGATGTACACACTATGCCTTGGGTAGAAATTTACTACTTCTAAATTTTTTCCTGGAAATGATGAGAAGCAAAATATTTGTATTTTTTAAAGAGAAAACAAACACACAGTGGTACAACAGTAAGAGCACACCATGAAATAAAACTTATGGAGGTCCAACAGAGAGAAGTATTCAGCACTGTGGGGTGCTGGAGGTAGTACTCACAGAGATCGGAGATTAAACAACTGCTGGAAAGTGCCAGCTTTAATTTCATAGATTTCATTATGCCGCAGGTCACTGAAAAGAAAGAGGTCCAAAGACTGATGTCATCGTTAATGTTTCCAAGAGATTTCAGAGAACTTTTACACTAGGGTTGTATGTCCTTAACCAAAGCAGCAGAGGGAGTATGACTATCTCGTAGGAAGTGAGACTGTCTCTCAATCAGGTTATCAATTATTTTTGTTTAATAAATAACACTGTAATTTTTACATTCAAATAAGTATTGATTCTTAATCAAGGAAGCTGGTTCCCTCAAGAAAGAATAAAACAATCTCCACATACGCTGTCATTGTTCAGTGGGAAGAATGATACCTTAGCATGCATGAAGGTCTGGGTTCTGTTTCTAGTACTGCATAAACCAAAGCCCTCCTCAGCTATGAGGCCAGCTTGGGATACATGTGACCTTTTCTCAAAAGACAAAACAACAGGGGTCCTTGAGAAATTTCATCTGTAAAAGTGCTTGCCACACAAGCCTGTCAACTTGACTTTGATTCCCCCAAACCCCTGGGTTACAAGTAAAGGTGGAAGGAGAGAACTCTCTTCCCAGAGTTGGCTTTTGATCTCTACATGTGTGGTCTTGTACTTGCACACCTGCCCTCTCTCCCCCTGCCCCCCCCCCACACATCCTAAAGCAAACCAAACAAAACCCAAAACCAACGATACAAAGAAACATTTGAGGACCTTTTTCTTTCACTGTTCCCTGAGCCCTTATTGTATTCATTGAAGGTCTTCACAAGTGTTATATCTATTTTAAATTATGCATCTGTGTGTGGGTATATGCATGTGAGTGCTGCTGACCCCTCCAGCTGGCAGTGAGAATGAATGGAAGTGTGACTAGAAAACAATGTGGCTATTGCTTTGTGGAGGAAGTAGTTTGAAAAGAGGAACTCTAAATGCATAAGAGGTGGCCACAGTACCTCAAGTGACAAATGGGACTATCATGAAATAAACCCAAGCCCTGCCATATTCAAAAGTAGCTCCACCCATTGGAAGTGGGAGTTTTGTTGTATTTGAAAAAGAAAAGAACTTAGCCTGCATGGCACACACCTGTAACCCAGCACTTGGGAGGCAGAGATAGGAAGCAAAGGAGATCAAGGTCAGCCTGAGCTACATGAGACCTTGTCTGCATGAAAAAGGCAAAGTTCTCAAACTCAGACTCACCCAGTTTCCTATTACCCAGTTCCCTATTACACTGAGCTGGGAAAAACAAAGGAGAAGAGCAGATGTCTACCGACTACTTTGTTGATATTACATGGATGAGAAAGACACCATTTCCCAACGTTCTAGGCACTCTCCACTGTCACACCTTGTGCATGGAAGGACAAATGCTAATGTATTGCCAGCAAGCCACAGGGTAAAGTAACCCATGGCCCCAAAAAACTTGAGTTTGGGCTTTTGACTTTTTTTTTGCTGAGTGACTTAGAGACTTTCAAGGACATACATTTTCTGAAGTTTCTGGCAGCCCGACAAGCTGGGTAAGTCTTCCAGCAGGTTGTAAGACAAATCTCTGAAAAGCAAAAGGTGAGAAAGAGAAAAACCAGTTACGCATTAGTCTTAAGAAAACACATCTTCCTCTCTTTTTCCCTCAAGAGGATATGCCCCCCCCCACCAAGGCAAACTGTGACAGTTCCATGGCCCTGCCTGACATGCAGCAGGTAGACACAGGCATTATTGGATTAGGCAATAGGTTCAAATATTTACTGAAATGTAACTGGTATACTTCTTTAATTGATTTAAATAATTTACCTAATGAATTTATTTATTTTGTTAGTAACGATCTACAGTGTTCCAGCTCTTATCTTACTGAAATGAGTACAGATTAAATTAAATGCCTATGCTCCCATCTCTGGAAGCTGCTATTTCTCTACAGCTAACACAAGTCATTGCTGGTTCTTCCCTAATCAACTTAGAAACCAAACCAAACCATTCAAAACATAGCACTAACTTTGAAATCAATCACCATGAGGGGGGAGATCTAAGAGAGGCTTCAGCCAAAGCTCAACAAATTACAGAATAACAGAAACATCTGGACATATTTATACTATAATATAACTAATCTAAAACAAGCCATGGTAATTTGCAGAAAGTTAAAAAAAATAAGGAAAACTAGTAGATAGGGTAGCATAGAGGAAAAAAAATTCTTGTCTCAAGTTTTAAAAGTTATCAACTAATCAACTAAGCATTTTCATGCTTGATTCTAGTTCTCAAAACCACCAAAAAAACTGAAAAAAGAAACAGTAGTATTTTCTAAAAGGCTTTTCAATTATCTACCCTTATAATTGATCAATTTATCCTACATTTGTTGAATGGATGGGTTTTATATAGGAAGAGTTTAACTGTTGCATATAAATAATTCAAATGAAGTTCTCTGTGAGTACAATTACTGGAGGTTTGAAAGGTCACCCCCTTTCCCCTAAACAAACAAACAAACAAATAAACTCACTAAAGTGAACAAATGAAAAACCTGTACATCTGTGCAAAATATACCTGTTTAACAATGTGCCATGTAGCTTTGAATAGTGACTATATGAAAATGGATGCATACATTATCAAAGATGATAATGATTTGATTCACTCATTTCTTCAGGCTGCTCAGGGAGCTTGTCATTTCTTATGTTTATATTGTGTAGCCCATGCAGGTGTGAACTAGGGAATCTTTCCCCTTCAGCCCCCCCAAATAATTGGATTATAGGCTGAACCATCAGTGCCCCCTTTTCATTCTCACCTATACCTTAGTAGGGAATGTATAAAACCTCTACACAAGGACACAGTATTGTATTTCATCCACTTTTTACTTAATGATTTCAGGGTTGACGTGGACCAAGCATTTCTTGTATAGTGGCACCGTGTTTATAGCTTTACTTAATTTAATCCTGTGATTACCTTATGATGGTGACACTGTGGGTGTCCTTATACAGAAAGGAATGACTCACATAAGATTATCAGCTAGTAAGTGGAGAATACACATTTAGCCTAAATAACAGACTAGGTGATTTCTATGAAGATAAAACAAGGTGGGGGTCAATAAACACAGTGAAATCTCATATGTTAATAAAAAAAGAAAATGCAGGATGGTAGGCTCTCACACCAATGCTTCCAAAAGACTCTATAGTAGAGATCAAGGTCCTGGGTTTTAGCATCAAAATTAGTAAGTTTTTCTTGGTTAATATGGTGGCCAGAACACTGATCAGTTTTCTCTCTCTCTCTCTCTCTCTCTCTCTCTCTTCCTTTTTGGTTTTCTTCTTAGAAAATAACTGCCTTATCTATTTTTCAGGAATATCATGAAGAATAAATGAATATTGTGGGTGGAATATTGAAAACTGCAAGATACTATCATTAATGTATTTGTGCATGAACACACAATTCAAGCCCCAGCAAGAAGGAATAGTATCTTTCCCACTTGTTTACTTTCTTAAGACAGTCTTAGTCCACAGCCTAGATGGCTCTGGAGTTTCTCTGTAGCCCAAACTGGCTTCCAACTTGTGGTCTTTTAATGCCTTTCCTTAATGCTGACACTACAGGCATGTGCTACTATGGCTGGCTTAAAAATAATACCTTGGGGCTGGACAGATGGCTCAGTGAAGCAGTTGTGACACAAAGGCAAGGCAGGAGAGTCTCCTGGGGTTTGCTAGCCACTAATTCTTGTTTAGTGAGGAGACCTTGTCTCAAAAAACTAAGATGGAGGGCTTGGCAAGACATCTCAGTGGGGAAAGGCAGTTGCCCCTGAATGCACATTAGAGAGAACTGGCTGTCATAAATTGTCCTTTAATCTTTTCTTTATGTATACATACTCGGTGGCACACACGTGTGCACACACATGCCTACACAAAAACACAAAAACACAAATACCAAAAATAAAAAAAAATATAAGATGGGGAGTGATTGAGGGAAACACCTGGTGTTGACCCCTGGCATCTATATGAATGCACACATGCAAACACCACATGCCCCAAAGAAGCAATATTTTGCCGAAAAAGTAATGACATAAAAAAGTATGGAAGAATTAACACTGACCAAGCACCTACCACTGTCATAAACTCTAAGAGTTTAATATGTAGTCATTTAATCCTTAGGATTACCATCTGAAGGAAGTGGCTCTTTCGTTTTTATTGTCTTAGAAACTGAACCACAGAAGGGAAAAGAACTTGGTGAAGATAAGGGGCTACTTTCTAGGGATCTTGGAGTTGAACCAAGAAACCATGCTCTGGAGCCCTTGCTTCTAACTAGTTTTCCAAGTGGTCTTCATTCATCTCCATGGTTCTGGATGGACCTGGCTGTTTACTGTTAGTTTCCTATGCAGCATAGAAGAGACAGACATGATTTAAACCCCGACTCCCTATGAATCAACTACAGTATGTGAAATTCCTCTGATGGTATTGATCCACGTTAGCCATGGATCAGAGACAATAGATGGTTTTGTGTACCCTCTACTAGTTTCATTAAGAAATGGGAATAGAGGACTGGAGAGATGAATCAGTGGTTAAGAGTCCCTGCTGCGAGCTGGGCAGTGGTGGCACATGCCTTTAATCCCAGCACTCGGGAGGCAGATGCAGGTGGATCTTTTTGTGAGTTCGAGGCCAGCTTGGTCTACAAAACCACACAGAGAAACACTCTCTCAAACAACAACAAGAGTACCTGCTACTCTTGGTGAGGACCAACACCTGAGGCTCTCATCTGACCCCAATACATGTCTGGGACATTAGCACGTGAGCATGCACATACAAGATAAAAGTAAACAAAAATTGTGTTGCTTTCTTGCAGTGAGACTTTGATAGATATATCCCAGTTGCTCAATTCCTTTGTCTGTAGCGACACCCCATAGGGAAATGTGGGCTGTAAGGACAAGGCTTGCTTTATATGACTTTAGATATATGTCAATGACAAAGCCTCTAGTGTGCTGCTACTGTACGCCATATCACTGAGCATCTGCAGTGAGAGGATAGCGTGGGGAGGATGAAAAAGGGCAGAATCATGCAGCAGACAGGCCCTCCTAAATAACATCCACATTGTACTGGTTTTGCTATTAAGAGGAGCCTATGTTGAAGTGACAGGCGGCTGAGTGTGATAGGTGTCTACTCCACAAGAGAAGAGCATTTTGTAAGAGAGTGAGGGGCCTTTTAATAATAGTCCCAACAATGCTCCAGAGAACTAGAGGGCTGAGTGAAGTTTACAGGAAAAGAAAAGTAGAATGTCAAAACGAGGCTGTTCAAACCCCTATAAACTACTTTTTAGGAAACATGGGAAAGGCAGAGGCCAAATGAGATTTGAGTCAATAGAAATAAGATTCAAGCTGATTGACTACCAGATGGAACATTAGAACACACTATGCATAACTGCACCAAAGAATGTTTAGTCTCCCTACTGAGGTCAATGCCTGTTTGACGATTTTATTTTTGACATTAATACTGGGCTGTTGATCCACTATGCTGTTTTGTTGTATCCTGAAAAACCTTTAGAAGAGGAAATGTAGTTCTTTGGCTCGTTCAAATTCATTTTCTAAAGGGAAATGCATGCATGCCAACTGCAACTCTAACAGGCAGCTGTTTGCATTGGAAAACAAAGATATGCTATCATGGCTACCAGGGTTATGGCTGAGAGCCTGGCCCAAAGGAGGCAAAGGAGAAACCATGACCTTCTGGAGACCTGCAAGGGAAGAACTTTCTCCCATTTCCAATGACTATTGAGATACTGTCTGCCATTTTCCCCCTAAATGGAAGTTGCCTGTTTATACAACATTATTGCCTTACTGATACGCACAGTACTTGGAGATTAGGTAACTGATCACAGACGGCTTGGGGAAGAGATGAGATCTTTGCTCCAGTTAAAGTCCTGTTAAAACACAAGCCAGACATAATTCTTTCATTCCCGAATCATGCAGTGACATGTTTTGATTCACGGATGTTGAGGTTGATCAGTCCTAAAGTGAATGCATGTTCTGGGCGAAGCTAAGGGTCTACTCAAATACTCACAGACTCTCCAGGTTGCCAGTTCCAGTTAAGTCAGGAAACTCAGTAATTTGTGAGGCACCATTCAAAGTCCTAGGAGAAACATGTGAGTGTTATTTGGAGACAGTTCAAGAAAGGGGTCATTTTTACTAACATTTTTCTTTTAAAGTATCTCAAGGTGTAGCATCATTTGATCTTTGCAGCAATACTACAGGTTGGGTGGTGGCGACATTTAAGAGAAATAGACACTTACAGTGTTCTTAGTTCAGGTAAATGTTGAAAAGCAGATATTCCAACAAATTGGATGGGATTGTCATAGAAATGTCTGAAAAATCCAAATACCAATGTATTATAATAAAGCCGATGGCCAGAAGAATATATGTTTTAACAAATATACTAAGTGCATTTGTTGCTTTTACTGGTTACTTAACATACCTATCACTCAGTTTCAAGTGGACATCTGACATTTTAAGATTTTTGTTATATTTACTTGTTTGTTTGGTGTGCATGCTGTGGTGCTTTGTGGGGGTAGGAGGAGAACTCACTGAAGTGAGTTCTTGTGTGGGGGTGGGTAGGAGGAGAAGTTATGGATGTGTGTTCTCAACTCAAGTTGTTAGGCTAAACCCGCTGAACCTGCTCATTAGCTTGCTTTAGGAGATTTGGGGTAAGGAATCTTTATAAAATTTAAAGGAAAGAAAATTTTGGGGGTGGATGATGATTTAGTATAAAGTAGAATGACAATGTGTGAAGATGCCATGACAAAACCTATACTGTGTATGTCTGGTATGGATGGTTGTTACTAAGTAGAAAAGCACATGAACTAACTAACCGTTAGTTAAAGGCTTTGTCTACTTCAACCACTGAATACTCAGTAACAGAAATGTAACTCAAGTTGCAATTAAATCACTCAATCAATCTATCATCTGTCTGTCTGTCTGTCTATTATCTGTCATCTATCTGTCCATCTGTCTATATATCTAACATCTCTCATCTATCTACCCATTTACATTTAACTACCTATCTGTCTATCTATCTATCTATCTATCTATCTATCTATCTATCTTTCTATCTATCTATCATCTATCCATCCACCTCTATGTCTATGGAATGGTCTGTTGGTTGAATATGATTATCATAGTACCTACAAAGGACTCTTCACATTATTGAGAAGAAGTGATATACTCTGGGACTTACCTAATGCAAGAAATTCTTGAATTAGTCATGACTCTAAAATGTGAGACATTATTGAAACTTAAAGAACTTTTTGTATTATAGACTTTCTAATGTAATAAAAATATATTTGAACTGCTTTGTTAATGGAGGCCCACGCAGACTTCTTAGCTGAGGCATTGGGATAGTTCAATCAAATACAACAAATCCTTAGTCAGTGTCTATTATGCTGAAACTGTGAAATAGACATGCAGAGACTTAAAGTCCTGCCCATTAAAGAAGCTGCCATTGGAATTTATTCTAAATGCTGGAGGTTGAAGAGGAATGAAAAGATATTCCTGCCCTAAGGAGCTTAGAATCCAGCAGTGATAAAACAAGTAACAGCACATCACCTTCTATTTGACAAGGCAATTGATCTGCACAACACCTTGGATCTATGGTGTAGATACTATGTAGATAATATGTAGATACTGGAGATTGCCGAGGTTTTGTTTGGTGAGAAAAATTGAGGCTGGGATACCCAGATCCTCAGTTTAAGCTAAGATAATGAGGGCTTGTTAACAACTGGAAAAGCTAATGTAAGCGCAACATCACACACAGCTGGTCACCCAGCACACCTAAGTGCTTTTGGATCCTACCACTTATCTATTCTTTCTCCTAAGGACCACATGATCATGAAAAGAACCGCAATGTGGATGGGGAAAATTCGGGTTGGACGTGATCAAGATATGTGCATGGATTTTTCAAGAATCACTGAAAGAAATAAAAAAGAGTAACAACAAAAATATAGGCATTATGGCTTAAGATGGAGCTTTCATCATGCACTTGTGCAAATACACATACACTGGGCAGGTATGAATATATGCGTTTGCATGTGAAAGGCACGAATATTGCAACTACAAATAAAAAGCTCTGGGGTTCTCTGGGGACAGCCTCTCATTTGTTTTGTGGAAGGGTAAAAAATTATGAAATACCATTTGAAATACATATGAAAGAATTCCAGTTGTCATAGTGCAGGGATATAATCTTTGTGTTTCACAAGCACAGCGTGGGTAGCCGGGTTATGGCATTGTTGCAGAGAGCTTTGGGGAAGTAGATTAGGAAGGCTGCCTGTGGAAGACTGTGAATGTCAGGTAAGGAATTTGTATTTAATCTGACCAGTCAACCCTGGATGTCTGCTTCATAGCAACATAGTGATGAGAAGGGGGCTGTTTCAAGTATCTGTGGTGACAGTGGAGAGACAGGGAGAGCAGCCTCATCTGCACTGGTAAACTCGAAGGAGTAATGGCTGACATTGGAGAAGTGGAGATAAAAAGAGGGCTTTGGACTGGAGATTGCAAAGGTAGAAATAAGGGCTGGGTCACCAGCTATCGGGCCTGGTGGTGATGAGAGATGGAAACTCGTGTGTGGAGAAAGCAGGAGGATGAGGAGAAAGTGGGCAGTACTGTGGAAAGTGGAGTGGCCTCCAAAGACTGCCAGGGCTGTCACTCAGGATGCATTAACATGCCAAAAGAGCGATTATGCTCCAGTCCTGGGGCTGCAAGGAAAGGGTCGCCAAGCCAATGCAATTCACTAACCTTTTAATATGTAAATGTCCTCTAATGAGGACTAATAGAATCCAAAGCCCTTAGTCTACCAAAATATTGCCAGGACATTTCAGAGGTGATGAATGGTTTTGTTTGTATGTGTATTAGCTGCCCCCCTCCGTTGTCAAGGCTAATTGGGGGCTCTAGCTCATTTGAGACAAATGCCACATGGTTTCAGAAAGTCCCTCAAAATCTCAAGTTAGCACAGGAGGAACCCCTCACAAGCAGCATCCTTAGGACCAGGTTCAACGGTTGCCTTTACTCACCTTCTCTATGATAAATCTGAAATCCCTCACTAAGGCCAATACAACTTCCTAAACCTACCTTGGTATCTTTTATCTTAAAAAAAATCTAATAATTACACATTTTCATTTTCTTAATGCTGATGCAAATAAATGTTGTATCCGTATTAAGTGTGAAACAAAATTATTGATACTTTGTAGTTATAAATCTATTTTATTTTTATAATCTACAAGTCCTTATAGTTCCCATTCTAGAATAGATGCACCTTTCTAGAATTGCACCCTAGTTTTGTTTAAATGTGGCTCAAGGCTGGGGCTTGTTTACAGATAGATGGAGAACCTAAAATACTATTCCTTCCATTCAACTCTCACACCCAGCAACTTGCATCAGAGGTAAGTTGGGGGTTGAATTCCTAAACAACTAAGAGGCCTGCCATTGGATTCTCAGGTTTGTTCCTTGCAAAATATAGGTAACCAAAGATTAGCTGTGGAGTGTGACTTAACATCTGAAGATGGCAACTGTAAGGCAACAGACACCTCAGATCCTGAAAAATCAACCGTTAGTATCATTTCACTGTTTAGTTAAAACCTGATGAAATTTATCAATGAAACCCGATGAAATATATCACTTCTGTACAGATTTTTAGCAGACACTGAGACAAAACCAAGGCAAACTAATTAGCATTAATTACATTATGTTTAAATGTGCAATATATTTAAAACTGTTGTATGTCAGGAAGGCGAACTAAAAAGAGCACAATGGGGCACTTACATTGTGACAAGAGAAGGGTTGCCTACGAATGCTTTCTCTGGTATTGACCTGATGTTATTGCTGTGGAATCCTCTAGAAAGAGAAAAAAAATGATTATAGAAATTCACATGTGTGTCTGTGTGGGGAGTGGTGGCAGGGAGGATTACTTAATAGCTCTCTTTGCCCTACCAAGTAACTATAATTCGGTAGAGAATGGTTTTGTAACAGCTTGAGTGCGAGCTATCTTTAGAGAGTGGATTAAGATTACTCTGTTTGATGCCAGAGAAGGGAAAATTGACTTAAACTTCAGTGAAGTAGAGATTTAAGAAAAATGTTCAGTAATTCTGTAATAATCGATCAGTTACCGCTGTTGGGGCAGATATAGTCTGAGTGGCAGAGAGCAGAGTCAAGGGTCTTTGGGTTTTGTGTGATTATGGCTGTGTGCTATACACGGAGGTTAGGAACACCTTCCTCGGCCGATACACATGGGATTCTCTGAGGTGGAACCCCAAAGGCCTTTTCCTTATAAACAGCCTACTCTGTCTATGTGCTTTGTGGAAATAAGGTCCCAGACTTTTTTCCCCCCAAGAGCTAGAACAGTACCTTTTTAGGCTATTTGTCTTTTTAGATAAAAGGAAAAGCTAATTAAAATTTGTCATCTAAAACACAATACATGCAACGAATGATTGAAAGTTAGTTTATCTTTAGTGAAATTGTGCTTAGAAAAATTAAAAAAGGCTCACCCAGCATTTAAAATGTATGTAAGAAAATATATGTGATGGCATCTATTACTATACAAGGGACACACAATTTTAGTCATACAATTCTGTATGCAACTGAGAAATTTCTAGATTCATAGAAATGTTTAACAAATAACTAAATCCTATTATAGTTGTATTACAAATAAACAAAGAATGTAAATGGCACTAGAATACATATCACTTAGGAAAAATTAAAGTGTGTGTGTTATATAATATAAAATATGTTTTTATATACAAATATGGGAGGTCACTATACATTCAAAAATTATAATTTTTGGTTGTGGAAGTCAATTAAAACATACCTCAAATGGGCTGAACTATTATTTATGTAAACTTAAAAAATTTCAGCCATTACACATGATAACTACACCAATTTTAAAATAAATTTAGAAAGAGTAAAAGTTCATTCATTAAACTTGTTTAATACTTACAGTTCTTTAAGGTTGGAGAGTGTCTTGATTGCAGTGGGGAATTCGTCAAGGTTATTATAATTTAAATCTCTAGAAATGAATACATGGTATTTTTAGTATTTCACTTAAAACTTCTATTTCCTCAATTTACAAGTTAAATATTCCAATGGGCCCATATCATAGATGGAAGTTCTTTTTCTTTCAGGAGATGGTTTATTGGCTTGCTGCCAGCTAATACTGTAAAAACAATTTATTGTATTTAGTGTGTGTGCATGTGCAAGCATGCACATGAGAATGTATGCAGGCATGTGTGTGTGTGTGTGTGTGTGTGTGTGTGTGTGTGTGTCTGTGTGTGTGTCTGTGTGTATGCACGAGCTTGTAGAAGCAAAAGAACAGGTTTTGGGAGCTAGTTTTCTCCTTTCACTGGTATGTTCCAGGGATGGACATCAGGCAATCAGGTTGAGCAGCAAGTGTTTTAACCTCCTGAAGCATCTCTAAGGCCCTGACCACCAATAGTCCGCAAACATTTGCATTACAATAATTATGGCACCAGTGAACAGAAATTTCAGGCCAAGGATCAATGGCCACAGGTCATTTACAACAGGGAGGAAGGAACATGCAGCAGCTTTAACTTCCAAGCAGAGTTAATGCTTGCTTGGTCGGTTCTTCCTCCTTCCTGATTGCACTCTTCCTTGGGACCTGGTTCATGAAATTGTGGGCTGGTGTTTGCACTCTTCAGTCCCCGGACACATCCCCTTTCTTGTTCTCATTTAGGAAGTGGGGCATGAGAGCTGCCTCATTCCTGGTTCCTAGGGAGAGCCTGTGTCTCACCCAGGACAAGACATGTGTTTGGAAAGGTTTATTGTGACACACAGGACTTTGAGCAAGGACATGTAGACTAGAGTTTCCCCAGAGTCATACATGATTAACTCAAGTCTGGTGTTTGTCTTGGTCTGTGAGACAAAGCTTTGTATTATCCTTCATACACGGAGATGGAAGGGCCAGAGAATCTCAAACCATTAATTTCTCTATCTGTAATGACACAAATGGGTTTTCTTTTTTTTTTTCTTTTTCTTTTTCTTTCTTCCTTCCTTCCTTTTTTTTTTTTCTGGGTTTTTCGAGACAGGGTTTCTCAGTATTGTTTTGGAGGCTGTCCTGGAACTCGTTCTGTATACCAGGCTGGCCTTGATACAAATGGGTTTTCAATCCCATTACTCACACATGTTTTATAGGCTTACTCCTCTTTATACCTATATCTTCAGATGAAAAAGGAATTGCTGTCTGGTCCCCGGGAATGGCAGATTTCCCAAATGACACAGAAAACTCTTTTGGTAAGGCAATCAGATGTGGTTAGACCCTCCCCAGTAGAAAAGAATTGCTATTTAATTTTAAGAGAAAGATAATTTGACTGAGTTAGACATGAATCAAGATTCCTACTTGTCTGGCACAAGCCATCCTTAAGCTATTCTGCAGGCAGGAAACTCGTGTCTTTTGTGGACATAAATTTTCTTCCTGTTTGTAAATCTCTCCAGATGCTCTGTTTTGATTAAACGAGGACTGGACCCTTATAAATTACTTGGCTTTCCAGTCAGGGAAAGGAAGAGGTTGGGAATAACCAATTTACTGATCCTCTATAGCCCTCGGCAAAGCAGGGCCAGACAATAAGATTCACAGATTTTTGTCCTGAAATGTTTTACTTTGTGGTATGTATATATGTTTTTCTGTAAATCTGGTTCCTCACCCAGGACCAGGGACAGGAAAAGCATTTATGGAAGCACCTAGTAAAGCTGATTTTTTTTTTCTTTTTCTCCAATTGTTCTATTGAAAAGGATGAGAAAGTGTTACTTAATGGGAGGGATGTTCTAACTTTTTCCTAGTGACTGACAGAAACTGCTTTTCCATGTCATCAAGGTCCTGTCTGAATGAGTTCCTCTTTGACACCCGTGGAGAAGTGGAGTGACAAGTTGTTCTGGAAGGAGAGGCATGGGTGTTCATTTGTTATGGTCTCTCAGGAAGCAGGTTGATCCAGAACTGGTTAGAAACTCAATTGACCATGGGTAAATTGTCAGTCTGCATGAACAATGTTCCCTATGGTCATAGAAAATTGGTTTTGTCATCATCACAAAGCCTGTGTCATTTATTGTATTTCATCATTAAACGTGGGAAGTGGCTTGAGGCTATCCCTGAAACTACCTTCCTCTCCTACTACACTCAGAACTTTTGTTGTCTGCTACCCATCACACTTCACTGACTCAACAGGGCATTGATGAACACCTCCTCTACAAGGAGGAGGCTTGTGGTCTAGGTAGATGGTGAGATCCTCTCTGCCCTAGCTCTGGGATCTAGGATATGGTCAGTTGACTGGACTCATTTTTTATCAAAAGTGCCAACAAAAGCCTGAGTTAGTTTTGTTGTTTGTTTGTTGAGATGGGGGTCTTACTAGGTTGACCCTACTAGTCTCAGACTGCTGGGCTCAAGTGATACCCTGCTTCAGTCTTAAGAATAGATTGAGACCACAGGTACATGTCACTGTGTCCATTGGAAACTTTGACCTATTCTTTGAAAGTAGTATCTGGAGATAAACATACATTTAAGAATCAGATTAGAGAAAGAAGGAATTCCCAATTATGCCACAGACTAAATATGTAGCCTTGGTAAAGTAACTCTGTGGGGCCTAAGACAGGATAGAAACAGCTACTCAATAGGGTATCTGTAAAAATTATTTCAACAATGTACATCAGTGATCAAATGATAGTGTCCCTTGGATTGCTTCATAAAGAACATGAGCCGTGCTCCTTAAGCAGTGCTTAAGGGTCTTTGTCTTCTCTTTCTGCAGGGAACCAAACTCACACACAACTGGTAATTAGTTCTCCTGACAAGAGGGATTGCTCTCAGGGAGGAGAACACAGGTCCCTAAGCAAACAGTCACCGCTTCCTGAGAACGGCTCATTTAGCTTTAATTACTATCGCTAATTTGCCACTCTCAAGAGATTAAATAGAATCCCAATTTTATTGTTTAGCTCTATGGTGTGTGTGTGTGTGTGTGTGTGTGTGTGTGTGTGTGTGTGTGTGTGTGTGTGTGTAGATAAAACCTCTGTAAATATCTGTTTAAAGCTTAGGCAATTAACCAAACCAAACATCAAGTTTGGCTTTAAGGCCATTCGGGTTCCTTCAGAATATTCATGAAAACACTGGAAAAAGGGAAACAAGCCAAAGGTCAACTCACAAAGTCTCCAGGCTGTGGAGCCCCTCAAAGCATTTCTTTCCCAGGGAGTGGACTCTATTGTTATGGAGATGCCTGCAAGAGAGCATTAGCCAAAGTCAGGAACAGACACCAAGGCATATTGCACAGAGAAAATTTAGGACCAACAAGATGGATATTTAAATCCAAAGAAAGGTGCGGAAAGCACTAATGATAAGAAATAAACGTTTTAAAAAAGCCCCTCTGCTGCCGTCACTCATACTGTAAACGACATAGAATTTAAGACGACTGCTGTTAGTATGGGTGACGTTATGAGTGATTCACTTTTGTTGTTGTGTTTTCTAGTGTGATTTTCTCCTTGTGACTTGGGCACATAGAGTGCTCAATGGAGTTACTGAGCATCACTGAGGGAGGTGTTGGGATGGAGGGAGGGTCTCATGTGGACCAAACATGTTTTGTGATGACTCCATTCCCAAGATTGGGCCGCAGGTCATCAAGAAAGGATTTCGGCTAAAGCAAATAGTGATCAGGCTTTTCCTGCTGCCCAAGATCAGTAGTCTTGACAAACAATTAGCGTGTGCAATTATCATCTTAGGCTCAACTGATAAACCAGCTACATCTGAGTAAATGAGAAGAGTTGTGTACACAGCTGAAAAGCAGACTAACTCCCAAAGAGGTTTTGGAAAAAGGGTTTAAAAGAGACAAAGATAAAAAAAAAAAGTGGAGGAGGAAAAGAAAAAAAATCAAAGGCCATATCCAGCTTCTTCAGGATCAGCGAGATCATATTCACGAAAGGCATTCAGAGAGGAAACTTGTTAATATCCTGCTAAATTTCTTTTCTTCCGAGACTAAAATCTTTCTTGTGTTAAATAAAATTTTGGTTTCAGGTGAGATCTATGTGACACCTATTCACGGTCTTTTATATGCAACAAATGACAGAGGGGATGGAAAGGATAAAAAGAGAGCCCTCAGGAGCACATGCTACAAAAGAAGAGATGGGTGATCAACTGTAGTAATGTAGCTAGTGGGAGGGTGAAGGTGGGGGGGGCAGAGAAGTGCCTCTCTTTGCTCCCCAGTAAGGTTTGTGCCATAAATGACCCACCAAGATCCATAAGCTTAAGGCTTGGGAGCCAGCCTGTGGTGGGACCTATCAGAGATAGGACCTAGTGGAAGGAAGCTAGGTCATTGAGCCTCGTCCCCTAGCACTTCCTGCCTCTCTTTATGCTTCCTAGCTGCTATCAACTGGGCAATGTTAGTCTACCACGCACAACCTGTCACAATGCTCTGCCTCATCATGGGTTCAAGGCAAGGAGACCACTAACCGTGGACTGCAATCGCTGAAATTCAAAGTTCAAAGTGCTTTTCCTCCCTTTAAGTAGTTAATTTTTTCCTTCCTTCCTTCCTTCCTTCCTTCCTTCCTTCCTTCCTTCCTTCCTTCCCTCCTTTCTTCCTTCCTTCTTTCCTTCCTTCCCTCCATTTATTCCTTCCTTGACAAGGTCTTATTTGACTTGACCTATATAGCCTTGACCACATAGCTTGACTACCTATATAGCTTTGGTTGGCTTTCAAACTCACTGCTGCCTTCTTGCCTCTCAGGCTTCTAAATCCTGGGATTACAGGTGTGAGGACTTTGTTGCCAAGTTGACTTTACAGTCCTTCAAGCAGCAAGTGAATCCAAACACCAGCCTTGGATAAATGTTGGTTATTCTACCCCACACATGGGGGCATCCTTCTTTACTGTCAAAGAAGACCCATCAACTTCCAAACCATTACTTGAGAACCACTTTGATTTTCTAAAATGATGAGATTCGAGTGAGGCACTGGTGGTGGTGTATGCTTATAATCCTGTCGCTTGGGTGGTGGAGGCAGGAGGAGCAGGGCTCTAAGGTCAACTTCCACCGCACAAGTTCCAGGCCAGTCTACTTGAAACCTTGTTTCAAAAACCCAAACTAAACTCAAAGAAATCTAGAGAAAAGAAGCTGTAGAAATGTAGCATTGGTGTCAAGAGTCAATGTTTCCCCTCTCTCCCTTTGCTCCTTTCCTTTCTCCTATCTTTTTTTTTCTGTCTTTATCAGTACTAGAGCTCAAACCCAGGAACTAGGATATATAGCCAGCTTGGTAGTGATCTGTCTTTTTCTTTAACAAAAAGAAAAAAGAAAAAAGTACACTTGTCAAGGCTTCGAGTGTAGTTCACTGATACTAGCATTTGTGGTGCCTGATTCAATCCCTAGAATTTCAAAGAAAATTAATCCCATTACTAACATATATTGTTAATAACCAAATTATCTTTCAATAATTTTTTTCATTATCTTTGTGGTGATTTCCTTTAAAATGTACAATGGATTCCACTAAGGTAGAGGTGCTATTTGATCTTTGTATGCCCAGCAATGTTTGTCACTAATCAGGGATTTGATAAATGTTATTTATAAGTCATTTTAGAGACGGTTTCAGCATTTCTTCCTCTCTTAAAATGCCTCCAAGTTTTGAGGTCCAACACTTTTAAGATCACAGAGGGAATTTAGAAACCGTCAAAACAGAGAGCAAAATCGATAAAACTCACAACACCACCAGGCTGGAGAGGTTTCCAAAGGCTAGGTCTGGTATGTGGTGTATTTTGTTCAGGGCCAAGGTCATGGCTTGCAGTGCCGATAAACTTCTGAAAGCCTGGACAGGAACCTCTGTCAGAGCGTTGTCATCTAGCCACAGGTGCCTCAGGGAGTGCAGGCCACTGAAACAGCTGGGTGGCACGTAGCTGATGTGGTTGGCATCCAGACGCCTGGAAGAAAGCAAGCCAGAATGGGAGACAGCAAAACCCAGGGAGAGTATGGGCTTCCCTGGAAGATTGTGTATGCACTCTTTGGCCTCAGCCAAAACAGGCTGGGGATCTCCAGGCCCCAGGCAAACTGGACCATTTCCTTCTTTTGATCAGCCCTCTTCATTCTGGTTAGATCCTTAAGCCCTTCCTCCTTAAGGTGTTCTAAGTCTCATCCAGGCTTGAGGGTAGTGTGCTTATCCTGTGTGGAAGCAGTCTCTCGGAGTGTAAAATTTCATCCTGTTTGGACACACTGCAAGGCAGACATTCTCTCACTTCATTCCCACGCTGTGCCAAATGAATGACTTTGTAATCCCAGACTGTTTGGAAGACACTAAGTGGTAATCTCCTAGTTTGTTCCTAAGTGCTAGGAAGAGATTGCTTCAATATTTGAAAATAATCAGTAATCTTGAAAGACTGTTAGATATGACCTTGGGAAGAGCTTCAAAATGGCTGGCTGTATTGCTTAGCCTAACCACTTGCCTTGGGCATTGTTTTTCTGACTTTTTAAGACAAATAATAAAATTAGCAGCTTCCAAACTCTTGCTTCCTTTTTCCACTTCTTTCTTTCTTTCTCTATTTCTTTCTCTTTCTTTCTCTATTTCTTTCTTTCTTTCTTTCTTTCTTTCTTTCTTTCTTTCTTTTCCTTCCTTCTTTCCTTCCTTCCTTCCTTCCTTCCTTCCTTCCTTCCTTCCTTCCTTTCTTTTATGGGAAACACTTCCAAAAATAGGTCTGGTTAATAAGCTGTTGTTACCCCTGAGCCAGCAGAGGGAGCACAGTACAATTATTTTGTCCTAATTCAAGATAAATGGTAGCTGTAATTATGGAAATGACAGAATTGAGGTATTTTACATTTTTTGGGGGGGTGAGGTACCTGAACAATGGAACTACTACCAATCAGTCATGCTTCCAACAGCCTTCACTCATTTGTTTTAAAGACTTATATTTGCTTGTGCTTTCAAAAATAGAATTAAAAAAAAACAAAACAAAACCCAAAACCTGAAGACTTGCATTTTACAAAGCTCATGTCCTAGGAAGGATTAGA